CTGGGGACCTCAGATGAGTGGGGTCACAGGTCACCTCGCGTCCCCTGAGGCAGGCCGGCGTCTCCAGGGCCCCCAGCACCTCCCAGGACCCAGAAGGCATCGCACGGCCAGGAAGCGAAGGCTGGAGTGTGACTAGCAGGTGCTGGCACAGACAGGCGAGCCTCTGGAATTAGCGAGCGTCTAACCAGTTGCTAAATCCACAGGCAACATTCAGGATTTGCTAGACCTGCTATGTGACAGCAGAGAGGATGAGCTCAGATTTGTTCCGGTTGAGAGGGCTCCTCAACTGCTGCCTCTTAAAAATCCCCACTGACACCCTCTCTAGCGTCTGTGTTGAAAAACGATGCAATGTGATACATGTCATTCACATACAACAAACGGATGGATGTGAAAATGTGAGTGTGCACGTGGGCAAGAGCAGGCGCACATACGTGTGGCAGTGCGCGTGTGTGTGAGAACCATCCCTGGTCCTCCTAGGCAGTCAGAGGGGGGTGGGAGGCTGCACCATCCCTGGTGCCCACTGGGCTCCTCTACTGGCCGCCCATGGTTGCTGAGGGCAGAGGGGCTGCACAGGGCTGGGGTGGGTGGGGGGGTGCGGCAGAGCCACGGGTGTCTGCCATGTCTTCCCCTGAACCAACCACTTCAGAAAATGCCCCCCTGCATGTTTCATGAAAGGCTTGCAGGAAAAGTACTTCACACTCAAGAGGATGAGGCAGATTAAAAGGAGAAATGGGTTTCATCCAAGGCGGGAAGCCTTTCTCATCTCCTCACCGGCTGCCCAGCCCTCGAGAGCTGCACGGAGAGCAAGATGACAGGGAGGCCTCTGGCCTCAACACTAACGTCTCCTCCCTGGGGAGTGGGGTAGCCACGTGTGCCCGGCATCCGAGACACTCTCCTCAGGGGCGGAGTCTGCAGCTCGCCAGGGCCCCTGTTGTCCCACCCACAAGCCAGAAGGGCTGCCTGTGGTGGTCCCAGGAAAACTAAGCACAAGCCGTGACACACGTGCCCTCACTCAGGATGACGGTGAGCTGCAAATACGGATGCTTCCCAGAGACGCACCGATCCCACTGCAGCCACAACAGGAAACTGAGGTTCGGCAACGCAACCCTGAGAACACTGCAACCGCCGAGGTCGAGGACGGGGTGGAGTGGGGCAGAAGGCCACCCTGCCAGGAGGGGCAGGGACGCCCCAGGAAGGAGGAGCTCCGGAAGAGAAAGCTTGGAAGGACGTGTGCTTAGTACACAGAGAAAAATAGCCTGGCCTGTGCCCCGGTTGGGCGGGAGGCCTCACCTGCATGCTCCGCCGAGCCACCTCTCTCCCGAGAAGCTCAGGGAGGCAGCCCGGGCTCCACGGGCTCCCACCGCTGGGCCTGATCGAGTCTGTCACAAAAAGGACCATGTCACCTGGCTTCCCTGTCACTGCACACTCCAAGGCCCTCTCCCAGGTCCATCCAGCAGATCCACTGGCTCCCAAATCCTGACCACGGCTGCTGCGTGGCCTGAAGGGGGACTTCTCAAATGGAGCTACGAGGCCTGGCGGGCCGGGAAGGGTGGACGGTGCCTGCCATAGGCCCAGCCCCAGGCTCTTGGCTGCTGCTCCTGGGAGAAGGCCGTGCTGAGAGCTGAGGGCGACCTGCCGGCGTCTCCCCGGTTCCCATGAGTTAGCCACAGAGGCCCTTCTTTCCATCGCTGCTTTCTCCAAACAAAACAGTGGGGACGACAAGCTTTGACCTTGATGTAAAAGATGTCAATGATAAAGGCCTTTTCTTACATTGTGAAAATAAACAAACCCCAAGCATATCAGCCCACACAAATCTGACGCCCGCCTGGCCATGCTCCCATCAACTGCAGAACGAGAGGCTCTAGGTGCCAAAAGGCGCAGCAGAAAGCAGAGCGCCGTCTCCGAGAGCGGGGAGCCGTGCGGCGCGATGCGCGCTCCTGCGTGGGCAGCCACGGGCCGGGGCACACTGACCTTCCTGCAACCTCCACGGATGCTGGAAGCCACTGACGCAACTCCCCAAATTTAAGTACCTATTCCACCACCTCCCACGTGGCTCCTGGGGCCTGGAGCACAGCGTTGGAGACCGCCCTGCCTCGCATGGCATTCAGGACCTTGCAGGGTCAGACACTGGCCACACCAGCCCAGCACTTCCCGACGCGCTGCTATGCACGGCCTCTCCCCCTGCGCCCGCAGAGGCCCTTCTCCATGATGACAAGGCGCAGCCTCTGCTGCTGGTCCCAGCTCCCCCTCTCACAGCAGACACACATCGAAGCCTGTCCGGCACCTCATCCAGCCTTGGCCTTGGTGAGCTACTGACCTGCCTGGGCTTCCCTTCTGAGCCATTCCTTCTGTCTCGCTACACACCATCCCCTCTCTGCGGCCCCCAGGCCTGCTGCTCGGTGTGGCAAGGGTCTTTCTCCCCAGGCAGGGCTACTCCTGCAAGTCAGGGTGTGTGTGGGAGGCATGTGTTGTTCACCTCTGCACAGGAAAAGCCAACTCCAGCTTCGGAGGGGCTCCCAGCACTGATGCTTGGCGAGCAAGTGGCGGGGCTGCCCCTCTGCCACTCTCCTCCCCCTCCCCAGGCCCGGCAACCAGTGCTTTCTCCAGCCACACTCTTCCTCTTGAAGGCCTCCAGTGCCTCCCATCGCTCCTAGGAAAGAGACTGCACACTCACCACGGCCCCCGCCCAGTCTCCAGCTCCCCCCACACCACACCCACGCTCACACACAGCCCCCCATCCCCCACCGCCATCAATCCGAACACCGCACGCAGACGTACTTGCTAGGGGAGACACCCACTGTCGCAGGACCACGTGCACCTCACAGGCTGTAACGACAGAGCCTCTAGGTGAAGAATGGCCCCCAGGTCTCTAAGACAAGGAGATGCTGATGAAGACGGAGAATACATCAGTGCCCACTCACCACTCCATCAGCCTCGTGCTCGGCCCTAGAGACACCCACGACACACACTCAGTATCTGAACACTGAACGGCTGAATGGATGGAAACCAAACCGCTCAGACTCCGGCGGGTCCCAGAGAGGGCGATGTGTACGGCACAGCCCATGCGTGAGGAATGCTTCAGAGATGCTGGAGGAACCTTGAATCTAAAAGGCATCACAGCTGCCATGTGCAGAGCACTTCCTGGGCCTGGGTCAGCATCGCAGCTGCCATGTGCAGAGCACTTCCTGGGCCAGACTAAAGGCATCCCTTTTCCTGCTTTACTCTCAGCAACGCTGAGAAAGGGGGCCATCCACGGGTGAACACCAGAACCCCAGGGTGTGACGAAGCAGAGGCTGCTGCCGCGGGGGGCCCAGGGGCCCACACACCAAAGCTGTGTGGCCAGGGAAGGGCGTCCTCTCCCCACCGCCACCCCCATCTCACTGCAGGGCCATTTGATGTCCCCTAGAACTGTCTCAGTCCCCTCTTCTCAGTTCCTCTGATGACCAGGAGAAACCCTGGATGCCCAGGGCCTGGCCTGCTGCAGACACTCAGAGCAGAGGAGTGGCCAGTGCAGGAAAGCCATGGCGTCCTGCCACCCCACCCTGTGCCCACAGTCACTGCCTCCCACAGTGGGTTCTAGCAGGACACCCCACCCTGTGCCCACAGTCACTGCCTGCCACAGTGGATTCTAGCAGGACACCCCGCTCTGTGCCCACAGTCACTGCCTCCCACAGTGGATTCTAGCAGGACACCCCGCTCTGTGCCCACAGTCACTGCCTCCCACAGTGGATTCTAGCAGGACACTCGGGTGGCCACACAGCCACGTTCAATCCACACTGGAAGTGGCAGTGCCAATACAGTCACTAAAGCAGAGCCAGGAGCTCCACCTGCATCTCCCTGGAAACCTCTTGCCTGAGGATCCTGACGGGTCCACAAGCCAGGGGGAGAGGAAGAGAGCTCTCGAAAAGCAGCCCGGCCTGCAGACCCTGGTCTAGGGACGCGGTGTGCAAGCAGGAGCTGGGGTGAGGGCACCCCAGGACAGGGCGGTGGCAGAGAGCTGGCAGCATGTCTGAAGCGCAGCCTGAGGGCTGCTGGACACGCCTGGCTGCCGCACTGCCTGGGCTCTGCTCTGAACCACACTCCGGGGCAGCCGTCTCGGCACAGCACTGCCACACAGCCCCTGTGGCTGCGGACCCGGCTGCAGCACCACCCCGTGATGGAGGACCTGCTCCCTTCTGAGCGTCGGGACACCGAGAGGCCCCCGCTGTCAGCGCTGGCTGGAGAAGGGCTGCTGAAGGCCCACACCAGCAGAGATGAGCGTCCCTGCAGAGAGGAACCTACGCGCATGGGATGTGACTTATACAGAAAAGCCCTTCCAGGAAGGCAGCAGAGGAGCAGGACTTCACTCCAGCCACCAACGGGGGAGCACACAGAGAAGGCCACAGGCTGGAGAGAGGGGACAGGAGGCTGCCACGACGTGTCTCCTGCACTCCCCTCCTCTGGAGAGGGCACACCTGAGCACGCGCACCTCCCCGCTGGGGACACACCTGAGCATGTGCCCTTCCTTCCTGGGGGACACACCTGAGCACGCGTACCTCCCGCTGGGGGACACGCCTGAGCACGCGCACCTCCCCGCTGGGGGACACGCCTGAGCACGCGCACCTCCCCGCTGGGGGACACGACTGAGCATGTGCACTTCCTTCCTGGGGGACACCCATGAGTGTGCCCACCTCCCCTCCCCCGGCAGGACACACCTGAGCACATCCGCCTCACTCACCCAGGACACACCCGGGCACGTCCACTTCCTCCCCCGCGGGACACACCTGGCCATGTCCACTTCCTCCCCCGCGGGACACACCTGGGCACATCCGCCTCCCCCCACCCAGGACACACCTGGGCACGTCCACTTCCTCCCCCGCGGGACACACCTGGGCATGTCCGCTCCTCTCTGGGGGACACACCTGGGCATGTCTGCTCCTCTCTGGGGGACACACATGGGCATGTCCGCTCCTCTCTGGGGGACATACCTGGGCATGTCTGCTCCTCTCTGGGGGACATACCTGAGGGTGTCCACCTCCTCTCTGGAGAACAGGAAGCTCTGTTCGGCAGAACTGGACTGAGACTTTAGCATCTTCAGCTCCATCTCCAGCTAGGAGAAAGCAAAGGACAGAGGGTTAGCCGACGTAAGTGCACCCAGGTGTGTGGGGAACCCCCGCCCAGGCCCCTGAGACCGCCCCTGGCAGCACCCCCGCCCTGGGCCGGGAGCTGGGGGAGACCTCTTTCCTGGAAGCCTGAAGCTGCCAGGCCATACAGCACTCTAACTTTGCAAACTCAAGTTCTCTCACTTGTGTCTCCTGAGTAGCAACAGATGCATAGGCTCCTGGTGGCGTGTGTGGGGCAGATGTGAGAGTCTCTGGGGAGGGGACACACAGCTGGGGAGAGAGCACACTGCAACGCTGCCGTCGGTTTGGTTTAACAGCCACCAGCCGTCATTTATTCTGCTACTTCCAGTTCCTCCATAGAACAGCGTGAGATGCTGCATCGCCCTGGAGGGAGCCTGGATTCTTCTTTTTTTTTTTTTTTTTTAAGAGACGGAGTCTCGCTCTGTCGCCCAGGCTGGAGTGCAGTGGCACAATCTCGGCTCATTGCAACTTCCACCTCGCAGGTTCAAGCGATTCTTCTGCCTCAGCCTCCCGAGTAGCCGGGACTACAGGTGCATGCTGCCACGCCTGGCTCATTTTTTGTATTTTAGTAGAGATGGGGTATCATTGTGTTCCCCAGGCTGGTCTCGAACTCCGACCTCAGGTGATTCACCCGCCTTGGCCTCCCAAAGTGCTGGGATTACAGGTGTGAGCTGTCACATCTGGCCAGGAGTGTGGATTCTAACCTGCCCCTACACACCTGGGGTGGGAGGCGCTGGGGGCAGCAGACGGTGGGGAGGCCAGGAGCCAGAACCGACTGCAGGTTCAAGGAAGAGCAGGGCACAGATGGGGCCTGGTCAGGCAGGCTGGCGCAGGCTGAGGGGCTATGTGGGCACCAGCTCCAGGCTCTGGGGGTGCTAAGGGAGGCCCACCCAGAGACGCCCCTCACCACTCCTGGGGTGTCTCACGGACAGGATCCGATGGGCTCAGGGAGGTAAATCCTGCCCCTGGCCCAAGTCAGAACCTTGTTCCCGCCAGTCCTAACCCACTCCAAAGCCTGGCTCACCCCACCATGAAAGGAGGAGATAGGGCAGTGTGGCCTCAGGGAGGGGAAGGGAGGCGCCAGCAGGTACGAGGGCAGCCAGAGGCCCCCAGCAGTGGGGCTGCAAAGCCTGCCAGACACCCAGGTGGGATGATTCGAGGGCGATAACACCCCCTGGGCTGGGGGCCAGAGGAGCCTGGGAAAAAGGGCACGGGGAGGGGGTGTGTGCACAGCGTGCAAGGGGGCAGGATATGCTAATTGCCCTGATCTAATCACCATACATTACATGTACTGAAACATCACTATGTACCCCATAAATATGTACAATTATGTGTCCATTAACAAGAACGACCCACGGTTCAGACAACAAACACAGAAGCCCATGCCCTGAGCAGCCTCTCCCCAACTTCCAACCCCAGCACCCCAGGCCCCCGACTCTCAGCCAACCAACGTTCTGAGGTTTGAGCATATGTTCCTTCCAGAGGCTGCTGGTGTGCAAGCCAGCAACATGTCTATGTTCTTCCTCCCACCACACTTTATTTTAATAAAAATGGTAAGATGTTCTACACTTTATTTGGTACTTTGCTTTTTTCACTATATATATACATATAAATATATATACGTGTGTGTATATATATATTTTGAGACAGAGTCGCTCTGTCGCCCAGGCTCCAGCGCAGTGGTGTCATCTCGGCTCACTGCAGCTCCTGGGTTCAAGCAATTCTCCTGCCTCAGCCTCCCAAGTTGCTGGGATTACAGGTGCATGCCACCACACCCGGCTAATTTTTGTATTTTTAGTAGAGATGGGGTTTCACCATGTTGGTGAGGCTGGTCCTGAACTCCTGACCGCAAGTGATCCACCTGCCTCAGCCTCCCAAAGTGCTGGGATTACAGGTGTGAGCCGCCACGCCTGGCCTTTTCTTCTACTTTCTAACTTATCTTTGTATACGTGATTTTAAATTTTTGTTTCCCGCCCCCTTGGCTAAATTCCGATCGACAGCAGCAGTTCTCAGTTGATTCTCTTGACACACAATCTTATCAGCAGCAAAGAGGGACAATTTTCCAATTTTCCTCCTCCTTCGCAATATGGAAACCTTGGGTTTCTTTCGCTTGTCTACTTTGGATGACTAGTGTCTCCAGAATAATACTAAATCGCAGTTGTGATACTGGACATCCTTAGGTGGCCTGTGGCTTCACTGGAGCCGAAGCCAGCACTTTCTCATTTACAGCATGTCATCTTTTGCTTCAAATAGGTATTTCCTATCATGCTGAGAAATTACCCATATATTCCTATTTTATTAAGAGTTTTTAATCAAGGCTGAATGTTGGATTTGGTCAAATGCCTTTTCAGCAAATATGAAGAGGGTGTTTTATAAATTGATACCTTAAAATCAAGCTGACAGGCTGGTCCTGGAATAAACCCTACTACATATGGTGTATTTCAACCTGCTGAGTTTCACTCCTGACATGTTAACACTGACACTGATGCATGCATGCGTGCGCATGCACACACATGCACACACGCCCACCCAGACGTGCACACGCACGCCCACACGCCCACCCAGACATGCACACGCACGCCCACACGCATACACACACAGGCTTGTAAGGCTTTTACAGTTGTTGGTGTCAATACAACACTCACTTCCAGAATGCCTTCTCCTCCTTTTCCCACAGTCTGAACTGGTTTACACAGTGTTCAAAGTATCTGCACTTCACAAACCTGGTAGAATTTTCCCATGAAACTGGCTTGGCCTGATGCATTTTCTGTTTCTTTCCTTTTGCGGTCGGGGAGAGCAGCCATGGCAACGTTGGGACAACGGTTTTCTACAATAATTGGTCTGTTTAAAATTTCTCTCTCTTCTGGAGTTGGGATTGATAGATAACATTCCCCTAAAAAGTTATTCATTTCCTACAGATTATTATTAAAATAGAATTGAGATATAATTCATAATTCTTTTTATATAATTCAGATAAGACTCATAATTCTTTTCAATTTTTTAATTTTTGCTTTTATTTTCTTTCCCATCGAGGTATATATAATTTACACGCAGTAAAGTGCTCAATCTTATGTGCACAGCTTGATGGCTTTTTACACACGTCTACACCTTCGTATCCACCATCCAGGTCAGGACACAGAATTCTCAGCATGCCCGAACGCTCTGGCAAGCTCCTCTTCAGTCAATAGCTCGGGTAATTCGTCTTGTTTCTTATTTTGGATGGTGATACTTTCTATCAATTTTTTATTAGAACTGTGAATAATTCATATGTTTTATTGGTTTTATTTCAAATAACAGGTATTTGGACTTATTTATTATTTCTACCATTTTTCACTTTCCTGTTAACTTCTGCTTTGATCTTTACAAATTCCTACCTTTTTGTTTCAATAAGGTTTATTTTCCTTTTGTTCTCTGACTTCTTGGGTTGAAGGTCTCATCCATATATTTACAAGCTTGCTTGCTGAATGATATAAATATTCAAACTTGTGAATTTAGATGGTTCCCACAGGCTCTGATGAGAAGTGTTTTCATGACAATTATTTTCTAGATTTTATGCACTTTTGAACTGTAATTCTTTGAACCAAGAATTGTTTAAGACAAAGTGTTTTGATCTGTTTGGGTTTTGTTTTTTAATTTCCAAGTGTTAGGAGCTTTATTTTCCCCGATTTTGTTCTTGATTTCACATCACACTGCAATCACAAGAAGTTGTATTAGTTCTACTTATTTTAATTTACAAAGGCTTTCTCTATTACCGAGGACACAATTAATCTTTGTGAATGTTGTTTTCTATGCGCTCCTTTAACATGAGTATATTCTCTAATTTTGGGGATCTGGGTTTTACGCACATCTATATTTTTCTGTTTTTTCCATTATTCTTTGCCCACTTGATATATCGCAGATGAGGACATAAATTCTGCTACGGGCGTCTCTGACAATTTCCCCGTGAATCTCTCATTTCTGCTTTTCCCAACAGCGGTGACACGTTATTTGGCTAACCCACCTGCACCTCGCTGTGAAAAGCGCCCATCTTTGTTTCCAAGCGGCTTCCGGCCTGAACTCACACTGCATCGAGATCACAGCTCCTGCTTTCCAGGTTCATGTCACCAGGATGCCTTTGCTTCCCGTATTTTCCAACGTTTGGTTTTGCTTTGCAATCCAATCAGGAAGTCCTTTCCTTTTAATAGGAGAGTTTAGTCCATCTATAACTTGATTTGTGTCTATTTCTGTTGTATTATGTTGTTATGCTTTCGATTTCAGAGCTTTTACATCTACGTCATTCTGTGGCCTTTTTAATCTAGTTTACTTTTTTGCGTGTAATTCTCTCGAGGCTTAGAAAAGTGTGCGTGTTTTACCCTGGTTGCTTTTATAATTCAGTTTTGTTTCACACCTATACTTTCCCACTAGACAGTACCTACTGTATCTCCTATGTTCAGTGCCTAACTAGTCAGATATATCACCCTCACTGTTTATACAGTCTGTGACGGTTCATTCCATGTGTCCACTGGACAGGACCTGGGGTATTCAGATCAAAACTCTTTCTGGGTGTGTCTGGGAGGGTTTGTGGAAGAGATCAGCATTTGAATCAGGGACTCAGCAGACTGCCCGCTGCACCATGGGCAGGCCTCCTCCAACCCCTTGAGGCCTGAATGGAATGAAAACTGGAGGAGGCCAGCGTTCCTCCCCTGCCTGCCTGGCGGCCTTAGCGGGGCAGCTCCTGTTTTCTGCCTGGGACTGGGGTTTCTACCACAGGCTCCGCCGGTTCTCACGCCTGCAGAACTGGACTGGGCACAGCACGGGCTCTTTCAGGTCTGCTGTGCGCAGATGCAGACCACGGGATCCCGGCTCCATGGCCAGGAGCCAGGCCCTCACAGTCACTCTCTTGGGATAGACCAGTCTACTGCGCCTGGTGCTCTAGGGAGCCGAACATGCAGCTCCATCCACTCTCCGCACCTGATACTACCTTTAG